ATTAAAGAAGAAAACGATTATGATCACCTGAAAGCACAGAAAAATTTGGAACTGAGTGGTCCACGATCAAAAAACAGTACTAACGCACAGAATAACTCAGAAAATAAAATGGACATGATTGGTACCTGGTACATATCCACAGCAATCATGGGATGTTTCTGACTTGGTGCGATAACAACAGTGTTACCTCGGATGACTGCAGACGCCAGTAGGGACACAAAGGCCAGTAAAAAAGTCAGGACAAGCAATGCCTATCACCCCTACAGGCTCATGGATCTTAACTGTAGCACCATAGAACGGCGTTTCCTTAGGGAGGGGAGAGAGAGGAAAATATAAAAGCCAGGAAGAAAAGGTATATGATTAGCAAACAAAACATCTTACTGCGAGTTCAGAAAAGCGCTTTATTTGAGTCTCAATGTATTTAGCACGAAAGTGCTAATTGGGGACACTATTTTTACGTCTCCTACTGGAGACGGGACCGCCATTTTACGTGGTCATCCGAGTCACGCGAAGGTACGTGCAGCAGCTTGCAGGGCAAAGGGAGCACCTTCATTTTCCTCCGTTATTTTAAGACCCTGAGTGTTGGTCCGCTCCCGGGAATCGAACCCGGGAGCTCCCGCTCTGCAGTCAAGCGCTCTACCGACTGAGCTAATCCTGCCAAGGTTGGAAACGATTCGTTGCATGTGAAAGTTAAACAAGGGGCAACAGCTTTGAGAACCAGTCCCAAAAGTGTCCGTCTTAGAGAGTGTTGACTGCAGAATACGTAAGACATGGCCTTAAAGTGGCTCCTGGAAAGTTGCTTGGACAACATACAAGACCAAATGGCAAGTAGACAGTTTCCTGCCACAAACACGTGACCATGATCAACTTGTTTTTGCAACGTACCAACTCGCCTACCACTTTGGTAAACTCGCCCTTCTATTCTCTAGTTAACATTATGGAAAGTTCCGTTGAGAACGTCTTCGCAAAAGGTTGAAGTATTTTAGTGGGTTGTACTTTCAGCGTACCCCCACGTACAAAAGAAGAATCAAAGACGCCCAAGGGGGATTCTTGAGGAATTTGGGTGGAGGGGGCTTTCCAGCCCTAATTCTGACTATCCACTACAGCACGCACACTGATAAATGATACCAGCTGCCTGAACTACTTCGGAAAGGGAGTGTCCCCTACCAAAAACCCCAGGGAAAAGATGTTAGCTAGTTAATCAAGGAAGTCGGCAAGTTGAACGACTGAGCCTGTTAATACAAATGCAAATTAACTGTATACATTGTTTTAGTGAGTGGTTTGAACCCAGGAGTCATGATAAATGTCGGTGGGATATGATTCTCCTGGTGGGCATAGTCCTGAATAGGACTAGTGGAGAGTGACTAATGACAACCCGTGCGGTTGTTATATTCACGCACATTTAACTCGGAAGATGACCATCGAACAGTTTGTCATCAGTCACTGTCCGTAACTCCTATTCAAGACTACAAACAACCTGACTATCATTTTCCATCTACGGTATTAATGCCTACATTTTGTGCCTACCGTGTGGCACGAAAGTTTTGCGATTTTTGCGATTTTCAAGCGATCCGCAAAAATAAGTTCCCGCACATAAAAATTACCACAAACATTTACCCCCAAAACTTTACTCCAGAGTTAGTATTCTCTACCTTAAATTCGCTACACAAGACATTAAGAAGAAATCGTGTCTGTCTGAAATCGTGCCTCTTGCATTCAGAAACAAAACGGCATACAATGAATTACTAGTTTTACATAGGGTACGCATACCATAGTGTTGTTTGAGAGTATATATTCTGTTGCACGTACTTAACAAAAACGCACATAAAAATTACCGCAAACATTTTTCCCGCAAAAATTTACTCCAGAGTTAATATTCTCTACCTTAAATTCGCTACACAAGACATTACGAAGAAATCGTGTCTGCCTGAAATCGTGCTTCTTTTATTTAGAAACAAAACGGTATACAATGAATTACTGGTTTTACATAGGGTAGGCATACCATAGTATTGTTTGAGAGTATATATTCTATTGCACGTACTTAACGAAAACGAAAATATTATCAATGCTGGATACTGGGTAATTTCTGAAAACCGCAAAAATTAATTCCCAGCAAGAAAAACCAATCTGTCCTAATCGCAAAAATTGGTTCCCGCAAGACACAACAAATTGCCAATTCGCAAACATCAACTCCCCAAAAATTTCGTGCAGCACGGTATTCTTGTTAACATTAGTTCGTTTTATTCCCACACCTAACTGTACAGTACCTCCATATTTATCTGCATAAGTACCCAGTAAAACAGCCGCTGTATTGCGATATCGACTTCCTTGCTGGCCTCCTCCTGCGAGCAGCCTGTCATATCGCACAGTCTCTGACTAAACTCACTGCGTCGCAGCTCTAAATTTTCCGCCATGTAGTAAACAATTTGAGCTCTGTTGTGGGCGGCTCTCTTGCCCCAACTAAGGGAAAAGGTAATAAAAAAATCATCTTAAACTCCAGAAGGTCTGGCCAGTTACCTATATTTTTTTGTTATTTTAATAAATTTTTATTTCGTCTTACAATAAATTTATGTATTACAATGTTTTACACGGTGACCCTTACATTTGTATGAAGACGAAAGAAAAATACAAAAACAAAAAAGAACGAAAAGAAAACTAACCATATAGACATCGCACACACACAATTACATACTGATAAAAACACACCCCAGTAAATTCTTCTCTATTTACATGAAAAATTAATAAATGAAGAAAGCGGCGAAATGATCGTATGCGACTCAACTTTATATTTGCTGCACTTCATATCGTGGGTCTCTAACTTATCGTCTGACTTAGCGATCATTGTCTCGATTACAAAACAGTGTTTAATTTTAGAAGTAAGAACTCTAATGGAGGGAGAATGTTTGTTCTGTCTACAAGAGTATGGGTATTGTTATTCCAGTAGTAAAATATGAGTCCCAAATATCTCGTCCTCACATTCAATAATACCAAACAGTATATCTTTGCCAGTTACCTATAGCTTTTTGGGACGGCACGAAAGGCTATCTGCGGGTACAGTGTGACCATAGCCTTTAACACCCTACTCCCTAACAATACACGCACCCTGGTGCTGCTTTATGTGCGGCCTCCACAGCATCTCTGATGTCCTTTCTGTTTCCGTCAGCCACTTGTCCTATAACTTCCCCTGAGGGGTTTTGTACGGGTCGAGAGTAGTTTCCGTCCGGTCGCTTCTGAGCTCCTCCAATGTAAACTTTGTAAGTATGATCAATACTGAAAAAAACGAAAAGAAAAGAAAGAAAAAACTACAAATGACTTCACATCGTAGTCCTCCACAGATGGTCGTGCTCTGGTTTGCCATGATGGGCAGACATATTCATACAAGCCCTGTCACCAAAATTTAACATTTATACACTTAATTAGGCTGGGAACAAATACTAGCTTAAAGGATTCACGGAGAAGTCCTTCTGTTAAAACAATGTTTAACATCCATTGTCAAGAACAAAATTCTAAAGCTATATTTACACTATGATACCGTGGGCTAGCTTTGCGTACCGACACGAAAAGGTAGCCCACGGTATAGTATGAACATCTATCCGACATGCGACTCTCCGCTTTACAGATCAGAGCAGCGCAGGTTCGCTCTGTCACAGAAATTGCGCCGCCACAACCATTTTTGAGTATGAACAGAAGCGCTATCCGGTATGATTTACTGACGTGGCGGCGCAGAAGCGTATCTATTTAGGTTTCTGGGAAACTGCCCACCTACCCCTCCCCTAAGTCAACATTTTTACGTCTCGTTTGGGGCAAAATGTTGGCTTAGGGGAGGGGTAGGTGGTCAGTTTCCCAAAAACCTAAATTGGTCCGCAAAAGCTATCCGGCGTAGTGTGAACAGAACCTAAAACTCAATTTTGTTGGAAAATTGGACTAAAAACGATCAAGTCTCAGGAGCTGAATACAAACATTATTGCTTTTAAATTTTCAATGTGATGCTATTTTGGACGATAATATTATTTCCACCTTTTTGGGTTGTAAATATTCTGAGGAATCAAGATTCTTCGCGGGAAACAAAGGCAACAAAAGAAAAACACCTGAACTATTGAAAATGGTTGTGTTATATTAGAAATTTAAAAGCAAATGTATCATATGAGGTTTCTTTTAGTTAGGTTGATTTACACATTAGAGACCTTTAGATACTGAGACGAGTACGACAACGAGTACGAGATTTTCCCAATACTAAGTAGTGCTCGCGTGTGAACCAGCGTCGTTTCGGCGGGAACACGTGGTAGCCGTCGTCACTCTACTACGAGTTTTAGCGAGAATGTCGAAGTTGCGATACTTGTAAAAGTTAGTTTAAAGAGGTTTTAAATTACGTATGCAAATTTACTTATATTTTTATAACAAAATTTCGAAGTCAGCGTTTTATGTTTTGCTTTGAACGGTACACTTGGAGATTTATGAAATTAGCTGTTCAGCTTAAACCAAGTTAATTAAAGGTTATGTAAAACATTTATATTATTTACCATTTTGACAACTATTAAGACCATAATTCTCATTCTTTGTCGCTACTGATCCTTCATGACGCGACCCGACGCAAGTTATGTACCAAAAACAAACGCAGTTTATGATTAATTAAGAAGGTAACCTTCATATAAAAAATATACAGACACAATTGTCCAAAAGTTCAGATAAGCAACCTATTGTTGTTGTTTTTTTCGGCTAAAAGTGAAACTTTTACTCGTCAAAGTGTAAGATAAGGGGTGGGCGCGCATGAAAGCACTGACAGGCGGTGTGAATTTCTGCAGATGCGAAAAAGTAAATTGCTTTCTCGAAATCCTTTTGACTGATGAATATTCAAAAATTATGTATTTTCTTTTCGTAACTGAAAAGCCGATATGAACTCGTTTATTCAGCTTATTCAGTTTATTCAATGAGTCATCACTTTGTTAGAGAACTGTGAGAAACAAGAACTCAAAACAACTACTCAGCAATTCCCTAACCGC